AGTTATAGAATCTGGCAAAAAAAAATGTAATGGCGTCTTTCTGTAAAATCAGTCTAAAGTTTGAGTAACGGAGTAGTACTAATGTTATCATGTTGGTTTACAGCAAAACAAAGCATTTTTAGAGCTATGACGTCATCAGAATCAAAATGGCGGAATTCATTTAGAAGTCTCATTTCGTATCAAGTCTCAATTTTGGTGTAGAATCAATTTTGGTGTTGTTTCAATTTTGGTGTAGAAACAATTTGGGTGCAGACTAAATTAGGGTGTAGACTCAATTTAGGTATATTATCGTCAGTGTCAAAAAAAACATCATATACATTTATATCACGATCAAGACATGTCAGGATTTGTCAAACGACAAAATATGTTCCACGTGATGATTTGCTACCACAACCCGTTCATTTAACCAAGCGTGACACACACACACAAACATGTAAACAACTCTGTCACTTGTAAAAGGCAGGTCCTAAATCATATAGTTTTATGATCAGGTATTGTAGAATACATCATAGGCTTTCAGTAATGATATGGTTGGTAAACATTAAGACGACTCATAGCACCATGTAGATATATATAAATCGGAGTTATTTATTGTGGTGTATCTCAACGTACAAATGTTGATTCTGTGCATAATATTATAAAACATAATTATGTAGAACGAGGGACAATATGGAAATATTTCAATATTTTTTTTACATCAAAATTTGTTATTATCTATCAAAGTTTGATATAATATTGTGAAATTTTGTTGGGAAATATCTACAACACATCAATAGCGACACGTTAGCAGGTGTTCTGGAATGGCACTGTTACTAGGTAACCTACAGGCGGTTAATGAGACTGGTAAAACAAAGTATTATATATATATATATATACTCATGTAATTAAAAGCGATTCGTACACACAATAAAGATTGTTTTTCTTTTGTATTTTTTTTCGCAGAAATCATAAAATAAACCATCGTTCATTTGATGAAATCTGTAGTCGAACCTCGTTATCTCAAAATCGATAGGAATATTTGAAAACTTCGAGTTGTACGAGTATTCGGTTTAGGTAATTAATAAGTTCGAATGTTTTGTGTGACGCCTTGACAGGAATGAGGATTTACTTCGAATTAAATGGGGTCCTCGAGTTGAAAGAGTTCGAGATAATTAGATTTGTTTGTAGGTTCACAAAATCCAGTGTACATAATTAATAGAATCCTTTGATAGGTTTTACATTAGCTTATAGCCATGGGAAACGACACCAACATTAGCCTTTTTACCTTTCGTTGGGTTGAAGGTGTATTGAGAGGGAAGGGGGGTTACAGGGTATTACTGTAATTGAACAGTCAAACGATAACCGTTGAGTTTTTTTTCTACTCGTATATGAAACAAAAATGTTGGTCAAGTTTGCATATGTAATGCTGGTATTCCAATCTCCTTGATAAAAGATCATTATTTGCACGCAGGCCATTATCCGTCCTATGTAAGGTGAACACAGCCTCCACATCCGGGGACATGATAGATAATATAACGAGGGGAGGTAGATTTCGGAAAGGAATCAAACTTTAACACAAAAAGATTTTTTATAATATTCATTACCTATTTCCTTATCCTTAAACCAGTAATATCATGGGAAAACCCAAGTTAAAAACATGGTTGTACATTCTGAAGATGTTGCTTACCATCCGATAACGGATACGAGGACGGTGACCAATGACTTCAATACACTGCCCACAGGTCAATGGCTTATGGCTCCAGTAGAAAGAACGGTGGCGTTAGATACTGGACAAATTTATTTTATATTTCTGTGCCTAAATGTCTATTTCTATCAACTGATTTGTCTACTTCTGTCTGTGATGGCACCTCTAAGGGTTACACAGAGCCCCGTGTGTCAACAGAACGAGCTACTGGACATATTTAAACATGAAATATAAACACATCGTAGTCAAGCTGAGGCAGTGTACGCTTCATTCAACACAGGTGAATCTGTGAGCGTGCGCAAAATCAGACGTAAGGTGTACAGAACGAAAAGTAAGTTTACTTAGATATATTTATTGATATTTACATCTTAAATTGTTTGATTTTCCATCATTATTGTTTTTCGTTTTCTTCATCATTTAAATATGAACTTATCCATGGTGTTGATACGAATTATTTGGTCAAAGTCTGTTAAGTTAATGATGATATATATAAACCTTTACTATGTAGGTTTTCATCAGAAATTCTTATCTATACACAAATAAATTACCTCGCGTATCTTGTGTTTCAGTGGTCACTGAAAATCCAACTTATCAGAAATATCTCTTTGATGTGATTAATTGTTATGTTCCATTGTGTCGCCATTGTTTAACATAGAGTCTGATGAAATGTATTTGTTTGATAATCGCTAGAGGAAACAGAAAATGTTATTTTATCTGTTTAAAGTGTTTCATGATCTCACTCACTGAAAGTGTCTTACGTAAACCGATATAAATTAATGATTCTATACCCATGTGTGTTATATAATTCTTATAACGTAGTTTGGTATACAGTATGATATATATGTGTAAACAAATATTTTATTTAGAGAAACATATACTGTCAGATGTCCCTATCTCCTTGAACTTTTTCAGGAGTGTCCGTGTAAACATGTCTTTTGTTCATATTTTGGCCTGGTTTCACCGCCTTTGCAGTTTAATTAAGAATCTATTGACATGTTGGTATATCTAACTGTTCCTAGAGTTATACAATAGATATTACATACTCTGCTTAGTTTCATTTAAAACAGATGTTAAGACTTTAGAAAATAGACCTTTTGAATTTTAAATTTTAGTTATTGAAAATGATGTGTTTTTGTATCAAACATTAGTATTTCATAAACACAAGTATATGTACAGTACAATTTCAACCATCGGCCTGAAAAGGCGTATAATTTCTGTCCTAGATTAGATGATAATTCACGCATCATTGAAAACGTATGTATGACTGCGACTTTTACTAGTTTCCGCTTAAATCAAAGCGTTTTGTTGACGCTGGGCGCCATAGATACCGTAAACAATCTCTAAGGCTGTTTAAAGAGACATTATTGATCTCATTACATGTCGGGAAGTGGGCCGTCGTGATATTTAAAATTCTAAATTGAAAATGTTGTCTCTTTTAGTTATATATGTCTTATATATATCTTAGAGTCAAGGGCAATTAAAATAACATCACAGCTATTGAATGACCACTCCTCTCAGCGTAGAATAAATGGAAGGCTGTGTTGAAATAGCACCAGAAGTCCAACCGTTATTGTGTAATACAGTAAACAGGCCGACTTCAATAGCACTTATGGACCACCACCCCCATCGGGTCAATAATTATGGTCAACATTATAATACGTTCGTCGGTAAACTAACACTTATAGATGGCCATCTCTCAAGTGTAAATAGCTGTTTAATTTTTGCTGAAAATAGCCCTTCAAGCTCACTCTTCCTTTAGAGTTAACAACTAAGGGCAGCAGTATAATACGAACTTAGATATAATAACGCTTTAGAAGACTTTTATTCGATTTATCAGTAAAATACAGTAAGTTATTAATAAAAAATGTAACGGCCAATTTGACCTTTGAACAAACAAAAAACAATACATAAAATAGTTCAGTGATACTAGGGGCCGAGTGAGATTCCAATATAATACAGATGTATGGTCCCTTTAGGACCCTCAGTGATATTAGGGGCCGAGTGAGATTCCAATATAATACAGATGTATGGTCCCTTTAGGACTCACCAGTGATACTAGGGGCCCAGTGAGATTCCAATATAATACAGATGTATGGTCCCTGTAGGACTCACCATTGATACTAGGGGCCCAGTGAGATTCCAATATAATACAGATGCATGGTCCCTTTAGGAATCACCAGTGATACTAGGGGCCGAGTGAGATTCCAATATAATACAGATGCATGGTCCCTTTAGGACTCACCAGTGATACTAGGGGCCGAGTGAGATTCCAATATAATACAGATGTATGGTCCCTTTAGGACTCACCAGTGATACTAGCGGCCGAGTGAGATTCCAATATAATACAGATGTATGGTCCCTTTAGGACTCACCAGTGATACTAGGGGCCGAGTGAGATTCCAATATAATACAGATGTATGGTCCCTTTAGGACTCACCGGTGATACTAGGGGCCGAGTGAGATTCCAATATAATACAGATGTATGGTCCCTGTAGGACTCACCGGTGATACTAGGGGCCGAGTGAGATTCCAATATAATACAGATGTATGGTCCCTTTAGGAATCACCAGTGATACTAGGGGCCGAGTGAGATTCCAATATAATACAGATGCATGGTCCCTTTAGGACTCACCAGTGATACTAGGGGCCCAGTGAGATTCCAATATGATACAGATGTATGGTCCCTTTAGGACTCACCATTGATACTAGGGGCCCAGTGAGATTCCAATATGATACAGATGTATGGTCCCTTTAGGACTCACCAGTGATACTAGGGGCCCAGTGAGATTCCAATATGATACAGATGCATGGTCCCTTTAGGACCCTCAGTGATACTAGGGGCCGAGTGAGATTCTAATATAATACAAATGTGTGGTCCCTTTAGGACCCTCAGTGATACTAGGGGCCCAGTGAGATTTTAATATAATACAAATGTGTGGTCCCTTTAGTACACCCCAATGATACTAGGGTTCGAGTGAGATTCTAATATAGTACAAATGTATGGTCCCTTTAGGACCCTCAGTGATACTAGATGCCGAGTGAGATTATATCTCAACAAATGTTACATACCGAAGAGCGTATTTCACTATGATCCACGGTTACAAGCCGAGAGGAATAGTAATCTGTAAGTGTCATTTTCCCAATATTACAGTATGAACACGAGAGAGATGGTCATTTACATGTGTTATGTTACTTAAGATATTCTTAATATTTCTGTAAACATAAATAGTGTTCCAGGTCTCCATTACAAGTTAAGGCATGTGTTTTTTTACAGGTAGTTAATACCAAACCTTACAAGGGAACGACCTAGGACAGGATGGGTGCCTTCTGGGGACACGCTGACATGGGGATATTCTTTATGGCCCTGGGACTGTGGTGGCTGTATAATATTTTTAAAGATTATTTCATGGTAAAATTTATTTATTTATTTTTACAAAGGTGCAGCTGATAAGTAACAAATGTCATATACACAGTGACAAGTCTCATCCAGACCTTACATAGCGGTCATACTTATAGAAACCAATGATAAGTACAGATTGTTATATACACAGTGACAAGTCTCATCCAGACATTATACAGCTGTCATACTTATAGAAACCAATGATAAGTACAGATTGTTATATACACAGTGACAAGTCTCATCAGAACTTACATGGCGGTCATACAAGAAACCAATGATAAGTACAGATTGTTATATACACAGTGACAAGTCTCATCAGAACTTACATGGCGGTCATACTTATAGAAACCAATGATAAGTACAGATTGTTATATACACAGTGACAAATCTCATCCAGACATTATACAGCGGTCATACTTGTAGAAACCAATGATAAGTACAGATTGTTATATACACAGTGACAAATCTCATCCAGACATTATACAGCTGTCATACTTGTAGAAACCAATGATAAGTACAAATTGTTATATACACAGTGACAAGTCTCATCCAGACATTATACAGCTGTCATACTTATAGAAACCAATGATAAGTACAGATTGTTATATACACAGTGACAAGTCTCATCCAGACATTATACAGCTGTCATACTTATAGAAACCAATGATAAGTACAGATTGTTATATACACAGTGACAAGTCTCATCCAGACATTATACTTACATGGCGGTCATACTTATAGAAACCAATGATAAGTACAGATTGTTATATACACAGTGACAAGTCCTGGGATTATACAGCTGTCATACTTATAGAAACCAATGATAAGTACAGATTGTTATATACACAGTGACAAGTCTCATCAGAACTTACATGGCGGTCATACTTATAGAAACCAATGATAAGTACAGATTGTTATATACACAGTGACAAGTCTCATCAGAACTTACATGGCGGTCATACTTATAGAAACCAATGATAAGTACAGATTGTTATATACACAGTGACAAATCTCATCCAGACATTATACAGCTGTCATACTTATAGAAACCAATAAGTACTAATTGTTATATACACAGTGACAAATCTCATCCAGACATTATACAGCGGTCATACTTGTAGAAACCAATGATAAGTACAAATTGTTATATACACAGTGACAAGTCTCATCAGAACTTACATGGCGGTCATACTTATAGAAACCAATGATAAGTACAGATTGTTATATACACAGTGACAAGTCTCATCAGAACTTACATGGCGGTCATACTTATAGAAACCAATGATAAGTACAGATTGTTATATACACAGTGACAAGTCTCATCCAGACCTTACATGGCGGTCATACTTATAGAAACCAATGATAAGTACAGATTGTTATATACACAGTGACAAGTCTCATCAGAACTTACATGGCGGTCATACTTATAGAAACCAATGATAAGTACAGATTGTTATATACACAGTGACAAGTCTCATCAGAACTTACATGGCGGTCATACTTATAGAAACCAATGATAAGTACAGATTGTTATATACACAGTGACAAGTCTCATCAGAACTTACATGGCGGTCATACTTATAGAAACCAATGATAAGTACAGATTGTTATATACACAGTGACAAGTCTCATCAGAACTTACATGGCGGTCATACTTATAGAAACCAATGATAAGTACAGATTGTTATATGGCGGTATTACATAGAAACCAATGATAAGTACAGATTGTTATATACACAGTGACAAGTCTCATCAGAACTTACATGGCGGTCATACTTATAGAAACCAATGATAAGTACAGATTGTTATATACACAGTGACAAGTCTCATCAGAACTTACATGGCGGTCATACTTATAGAAACCAATGATAAGTACAGATTGTTATATACACAGTGACAAGTCTCATCCAGACATTATACAGCTGTCATACTTATAGAAACCAATGATAAGTACAGATTGTTATATACACAGTGACAAGTCTCATCCAGACCTTACATAGCGGTCATACTTATAGAAACCAATGATAAGTACAGATTGTTATATACACAGTGACAAGTCTCATCAGAACTTACATGGCGGTCATACTTATAGAAACCAATGATAAGTACAAATTGTTATATACACTGTGACAAGTCTCATCCAGACCTTACATGGCGGTCATACTTATAGAAACCAATGATAAGTACAAATTGTTATATACACAGTGACAAGTCTCATCAGAACTTACATGGCGGTCATACTTATAGAAACCAATGATAAGTACAGATTGTTATATACACAGTGACAAGTCTCATCAGAACTTACATGGCGGTCATACTTATAGAAACCAATGATAAGTACAAATTGTTATATACACAGTGACAAGTCTCATCAGAACTTACATGGCGGTCATACTTATAGAAACCAATGATAAGTACAGATTGTTATATACACAGTGACAAGTCTCATCAGAACTTACATGGCGGTCATACTTATAGAAACCAATGATAAGTACAGATTGTTATATACACAGTGACAAGTCTCATCAGAACTTACATGGCGGTCATACTTATAGAAACCAATGATAAGTACAAATTGTTATATACACAGTGACAAGTCTCATCAGAACTTACATGGCGGTCATACTTATAGAAACCAATGATAAGTACAGATTGTTATATACACAGTGACAAGTCTCATCCAGACATTATACAGCTGTCATAAATAATAATTAAACTGTAACCTTGGTGTCGTAATAAATGCTTATACCAAAATTTAAGAAGAAACAAACTATAAAGTTAATTTCCTTACCAATCAAACTTTGATGGCATCCTTTGAAAAACCAAAAAAAAAAAAAAAAAACAAAACAAAAACAAAAACAAAAAAATCATTTGCATACGAACCCTTGCATGGTGCATTGAATGACAATGACTTGAACCTGTTGTGAATCCGTTTACAGAGCGGATGTGACACCACAATATTCAGATCCAGAATCAGCTATGGCTTGCCCTGTAAACCAAGAATTCCGATAGAAATCATCATGAAGTTATTGTTTATAGGTGGAGGTAAGTATAAAGTAGAATCTTTTAATCTCGTCTGTATCCTACAGCCATACAAGTGTTGAGTAAAAATAGCGAGCTGGTCTGAATGGTAATTATGACTCAGCAGAGAAATCCTGTCTGTTATTACACAGTAGTTAAATATGTTATTTCTATAACATCAAACAGTAATTTTATCTAAGTTACTGGTCAGACAACTGGTACTTGTATTAGATGGACTTAAAAAATTGTGCTTGTTTTGTGTCCATTTTTTCTTTTTTGTTTTTGTTTTTGTTTTTATCGTTTTTGACAGGTCAGTAGACTCATAACTGAAGTGAAATTAACTTCAAAACTGGTAATTGGTTTTTCAAAAAACTTTATATTGAAATGATCTTGATATGGAATTGATCTTGATATTAAAGTGGTCTTAATAGTGAAATGATCTTAACAGTGAAGTGGTCTTAATAGTGAAATGATCTTAACAGTGAAGTGGTCTTAATAGTGAAGTGGTCTTAATGGTGATGTGATTGTAATAGTGAATTAATCTTAATAATGAAGGGGTCTTTATATAGAAACATACAGCACATCGTCATACAATGATTACTTTGGGAAAGAACTGATTAAGATGATGATAACGGGTGTTAATGTTTGCAGTAATCCTATTCGAATTCGGAACGAGTGGACTACATTTTATCAGTGCTGATGGTAACTTCCGGAACATCATTTATCTCCAACATCTCACCATGTTCGGCCTCTTTTTCATTCATGCACTTGTTGACCTCATGGAATGGGTCAACGCCCCTATACCACGTGGGTCGGCTGCGGGGACAGGAGCATTCGCATTTGGATGGTAAGTGCACCGCCTTATCTAGATCTTGTCTTTTCATTCAGTGACTTTGGAATTTCCTAAGTTGCCTCATAATCTTCCAAATTTAGGCGCTTAGCATCACTGATGAGTCATAAGAGGATGAAACAGCGGTATGATTCAGTTTAATTCATTGTTCGGTTCTACTGTATCTAACACTAAGCTTGTATGCTATTCACCTGTGCGTCCTTTGAACAATCTTATTATACTGTACAAATAATATCATGGATAAGCCTTGATGCTTGTTAATTTGACTGTTGCTTCCGGTGTAGTATACCTTGTTTTCATTTGTGAACGTGACATTACTTGCCGGGTGTCGTCGATGAAGCAGAAGACGCTTACTCTCCCTGAACACATCCTATTACTTTCTCAGCAGCTATAGCCTCTATGTAATTTTTTCTTTGGTTCAGAATGTGCCCTAGTTTTATAGTACTTGAGATTATGACATTTTGGTATTTTCTATTACACAAAGTTTTCTGTTTGATCTGATGTTTATAAATAGCAACATTATAAGTTCTGTCCTGATGTGTTGGCAATATTATAAGTTCTGTCCAGATGTGTTGGCAATATTATAAGTTCTGTCCAGATGTGTTGGCAATATTATAAGTTCTGTCCAGATGTGTTGGCAATATCATAAGTTCTGTCCAGATGTGTTAGCAACATTATAAGTTCTGTCCAGATGTGTTGGCAATATAAGTTCTGTCCTGATGTGTTGGCAATATTATAAGTTCTGTCCAGATGTGTTGGCAATATTATAAGTTCTGTCCTGATGTGTTGGCAATATTATAAGTTCTGTCCAGATGTGTTGGCAATATTATAAGTCCTGTCCTGATGTGTTGGCAATGTTATAAGTTCTGTCCAGATGTGTTAGCAACATTATAAGTTCTGTCCTGATGTGTTAACGTTGTGGTGTATTGCCCTCTGACATAACAGACTAATATATGTCCAGGTTGAGGACACATTTTCAGCTATATAGCTATTGTTGCTCTAACTTCCCTTCCCTACTTTATTAACTGTCTCTGGCGAGACCTCGAGGAACATCTTACTTTTCTGATGCTGGACATACATTGTATTTTTCTTGGTTGTAGGTGTACAACTCAAAAAAAGTGAGCGGATTTTTATTTATCTTTTATTTTGTATTTAAATGTTACTTTACACATGTTGATGCTGTGATGATTTTTGACCTTTAGTTATTACCAAGGTTGTTGTTTATTTTTTGTTGTTTATTTGTTGTTGTTGTTGTTGTCGTGATATTCCAGTCAATTCGTTAACTGATGTATGTTGATACTTTACTTCTGTATTGCATGATGTTTACAGGACAGCATTGTCCATGTACTACCACGTGGAGGTCGGTAACAGGAAGCTGGTCGACGTTTTGCTTCACACGATGCCAAACTACGTCATCTATCTGCTGATGGGGAGTTTTCTATACGAACATTACCATGGTTACAAGGGTGTCCTCGCTCCCATTGTTAGGGCCTACTCGTCATTATTCCTGGGAACGTGGTTTATACAGGAGGGATGGGTTCTGTTCGTGCACGACAGATTTCCTGGTAAATATTCATATATCTTTTATATTCTATAATCCAAATAAATCAAAATCAATCGGTTAAAATGTCTACATTATTTAAACTACAATCATTGATCTAGAAACATCTTAGTTGTTAAGCAAAATCATCTGGTGAAAACACATTGGTAATAAATAACATCTTTAATTGTATCTTATTCGGTACACAAAGTGATTAGTGTTGCTATTAATCACGTGACTTTACAGAGATTGCCTTATTTTTTATACTAAACATCTCTTTCTAATAAATAAAATATACAACACGAAGTTTTATCAGTCAATCTATATCGGATATCTACATGTCGATGCTTGTATGATTCATCATACATATACATATTATACATATGATTTTTTTTAAAATATAATCATAAGTAGATTCCTAAACCCCGTGTCGACGTGTGACTTTATAGTTTATGTATATATATATATATTTGTCTGGAAACATGATATATACAAACTATGTATACTAGATATCATTTACCTCAAAATCGTTGAGTTTTAGGTAAGTACATGTGGAAACACTTCCTCACATTTGGAATTATTCTAAGTTTTAATAATCAATGTGTTAAGGAAGCTTCAAACAATAGGTTGGAACAGCTGTTTGCTGCAGTCAGTTTCCGACTTATTTTTATAATGTGTGTAATTCTGAATTTGTATTGAAGCATTGTCCTCTCATATACCTTTTGTACAATCTTAAAACAATACTATTTTTTCTATAGGAGGTGAAATGAATCCTGAGTGGGACCTCGCTGACGAGCGGAACGCCCACTTCATTCCCGTTGCCTTTGGTTGCCATTTGATTGTCGATTTTCTGATCGCCGCCATATTGTATGTTGTGCTATATTTCATTTACATTCCTAAATCGAGGCTGACATGTCTCCGATTGTTCCAAAAATGGAGAAAACCTTTGATAGTGAATAATGGGGAAATTGAACGAGAATATTTGTTGCTTAGTAACGATGACAAGGAGGACCAGTTCGTGTGACGTCACCTCACAACGTCTGTAACAGGTGATTGTGTGACGTCATCTCACAACGTCTGTAACAGGTGATTGTGTGACGTCACCTCACAACGTCTGTAACAGGTGATTACTTACACAGCCCACCCGATAAACAAAGAGATACTCAGCACTCAAAATCTAGGATACGATGCACGAGAGCAGAGACGCCATCCGATAGATGTGTATTAGTTCTAACTATCCGTCATATCGAATTAAGATCGACAAGTAACACATGCCTGTTTGTCCCACCTTGGCCATGCGTTTAGAAAATGCTTCATCCTGTATAGAATACACGTCATGTTTAATGAACATTGAAATATAGTTTTAACTTTATGCATACTTCTGTGTAACTTTCAAAATGAAATGTTATATCTATATAGCGAGACATTGACTCGACGTTCACTTCTGTTACCGATCGATAAACTTCACTCGTATCCCTGTTACTGTACAGAAATTGTCGTCAAGTCGAACACTAGTACCGATAATTCTCTAGACTTTGGGCTGACGTTTCAATAAGTCACCTGTACTACAGCTCTTATTTTTCACACATTTCTTAACTTCACGTCGCTGTCACTAGATTTATTAGCAATATCACGGATTTAGTATCCTGTTTGTGTATGTATACCTTACTGAGCTCCCAGCATAATACTGCTTTATTACATCAACTTCTGTTCCATTGACCAACGGCACACGGATATATTCCTAGATATAACATTTCTACGATGAAGACTTTTAATGGTTATATTCCATTTATTTATTTCAGTTTTTAAAGATTTAGCTTTTTAATGTTTTTTTATTTCTCAAAAGATATTTTTATACAAATAATTCTATGCTTTTGCAGTTTTCTGCTTAATTTTGTCATCACAATAAAATATTTATGAGTTATCATTCTTTATGTCCAGAAGTCGTTATTATATAAACACTGAAGAGAGGAGTATTGACAGCGAGGCGTCCAGGAGTAAATTAAGATTGAAGAATCATTTCTCACCAAAACAACATGAAATACCAAACACGTCAACATAAACATGAACCAAACATAAATAATACAACCAAATAGAAAGGTTTACACGGAGACTCCTAAAAAAATCACAATAAGACAGTGGTGTTTCGGAAGGGAAAGCCTCTTTGTTTCATAGTCGACATCCGTCATGTAAATCTTGGTCAGTGTAAGTAGGTAATGTCACGTTCTAAATTGAGAACAAGTTATACAACAACGGAACCTATAGGCAAATTCATGAGCATCAAAGTTAGCTGGACAATGACGCGATTTATGAAATGTCTGAATTAAAAAGGACTTGACACGTTTCAGCGTTAACCATCGCCTATGTGATAATATTCATAATACATACTCTCAGGTTTATATCACGTGTTGATAAAGATGGTTGGATCGATAACAGGTTAGTTTACTCAATCATAACACCACGACTAAAACATATAAACGTAATTAACGTACCAATATTAGCACGTGTAAAACATCTCCCTTGTAATGAAATCCTAATGGCGACCGTAGACTTTTACAAAGCCCTATCATCCTGATTCTCTCAAGACACTCTATCAGCAAACACGGAAATCCTAAGGATTCGGACAGGCATTGTTTTAATTTAAAGGTTGAGCAATGTGGTTGTAAAAACGAAAAACGAAACTAAACATAAACAAACAACAACAAAAACAACAAAAAACAAAACGAAAAAAAAAACAACAAAAAAACAAAAACAAAAAAAACAAAAAACAAAACAAAAAAACCAACAAAACATCGGAAATGTCTTAAAGTGATCCCGAAGAGATCATGATGAACACATGAAGCTTTTATCGACATTATGTGTTCCTTCAGTAATAGAAGTGTGTTAATATTTGCATATACTATTTGCAAATATTGACTTTGTTTCGGACAGATTATAGAACAGATACGCCTAAGCTATAGTAATAATTGAAAATGTTTGTAATTCTAAATGACTTACAATTCAACAAACCAAAAATATAGAACTTATTCATCTTTAAGCATTCCTTCGCAGTGACAATGGTATTTGTTTTGTTTGAATAAACACTTAATAATTAAATAACTAGAATTATTCAAATATTCATCAACGAAGTCAAATGCAGAGGACAATTAAAACCTGGTATAAAGCTAACAGGGTGAGAGTGGGGTCTACCAGGAGCTGAACAACGGCACGAGTGTCATGGCAACGTCTGAACATTTTGTTTTCAAAAATAGCAAAGGTCGTCGGAGACGGGTTATGCTTCCCGAAAGGAACGCAATTTAAAAATAAAAAATAACAAGGGACGATGATAAATAATACAGAGAGAGTTATGGTTCTTGTACACTTCACTACTGTACACTTCTTCGCTGATTATAGTTTTCTTAAAATTTCATCATCAGGTCTTCAAATATAAACCATTTTCAATAGGGATTTTTAATATTAATAAAAAGACTAAAACTTTATTACCCACTTTCAGTTCAAGCAAAACCATTGCTGAATTAATAGCAAATCCTAGTGAATAAGATGCTGATCTGGACTTGCTTTTAGAGTCGGTTTTATCTCGGACACTAAATGGTCTGACTGCATTAATGAAATTTGATGTGAAATGTTTTCAGAATATCTAAGTACCTGTTGACATTTTATGCACTATGTAAATCTGTTACCTCGCGATATACCGAACATCATCAGTGTACCTGTAAATCTGTTACCTCGCGGTATACCGAACATCACCAGTGTACCTGTAAATCTGTTACCTCGCGGTATACCGAACATCACCAGTGTACCTGTAAATCTGTTACCTCGCGGTATACCGAACATCACCAGTGTACCTGTAAATCTGTTACCTCGCGGTATACCAAACATCACCAGTGTACCTGTAAATCTGTTACCTCGCGGTATACCGAACATCACCAGTGTACCTGTAAATCTGTTACCTCGCGGTATACCGAACATCACCAGTGTATGTAAATCTGTTACCTCGCGGTATACCGAACATCACCAGTGTACCTGTAAATCTGTTACCTCGCGGTATACCGAACATCACCAGTGTACCTGTAAATCTGTTACCTCGCGGTATACCGAACATCACCAGTGTACCTGTAAATCTGTTACCTCGCGGTATACCGAACATCACCAGTGTACCTGTAAATCTGTTACCTCATCACCAGTGTACCTGTATAAATCACCAGTGTACCTGTAAATCTGTTACCTCGCGGTATCATCAGTGTACCTATACCAAACATCATCAGTGTACCTTTGGATCTGTTACCTCGCGGTATACCGAACATCACCAGTGTACCTGTAAATCTGTTACCTCGCGGTATACCGAACATCACCAGTGTACCTGTAAATCTGTTACCTCGCGGTATACCGAACATCACCAGTGTACCTGTAAATCTGTTACCTCGCGGTATACCAAACATCATCAGTGTACCTTTGGATCTGTTACCTCGCGGTATACCGAACATCACCAGTGTACCTGTAAATCTGTTACCTCGCGGTATACCGAACATCACCAGTGTACCTGTGTTACCTCGCGGTATACCGAACATCACCAGTGTACCTGTAAATCTGTTACCTCGCGGTATACCGAACATCACCAGTGTACCTGTAAATCTGTTACCTCGCGGTATACCGAACATCACCAGTGTACCTGTAAATCTGTTACCTCGCGGTATACCAAACATCATCAGTGTACCTTTGGATCTGTTACCTCGCGGTATACCGAACATTACCATTGTACCTGTAAATCTGTTACCTCGCGATATACCGAACATCATCAGTGTACCTTTGGATCTGTTACCTCGCGGTATACCGAACATCACCAGTGTACCTGTAAATCTGTTACCTCGCGGTATACCGAACATCACCAGTGTACCTGTAAATCTGTTACCTCGCGGTATACCAAACATCACCAGTGTACCTGTAAATCTGTTACCTCGCGGTATACCGAACATTACCATTGTACCTGTAAATCTGTTACATCGCGGTATACCGAACATCACCAGTGTACCTGTAAATCTGTTACCTCGCGGTATACCGAACATCATCAGTGTACTTTTAAATCAGTAGAGATGTTATTATGGTTCATTGACACTGTAGTATTTTATCTACCAAATTTAAATTGTTCTCAAAGAAATTACATGACAGGAAAACATACTTATCGCAAGGTCAGCGATGTTACCTATCTGTCTATGTCTGTTCACCAAACAAACTAGGTCTCCAGTAAAACGCCATCGGTAACGTATTGTATTCATTTTCAGGTAACAGTTTTGGTTATATATCATATATTACAAGGACAAGAGAAATCCAGACAAAACTTTTTTCCCTGGAGTGCTTCATATTAAATTCGTCCCCATTGATTTCGGCATTTCTGAAACAAGAACGAGGCTATACCGCTTTGGTCAATATTACAATCGACCAATGAAAATATCGCCGGATTTAACTTAAAAGTTAATGAATGAATGAGTGAATGAACAAATGAATAAATGAGTGAGTGAATTAATGAAAGATGAAGCCGAATGAAGATACAGGATACATTATTAGAGACAAAAGTGTTTAACAGTTATGCTAGAGTTAGATAATTAGAGACGAGAGTGTTTAACAGTTATGCTAGAGTTAGATAATTAGAGACGAGAGTGTTTAACAGTAATGCTAGAGTTAGATAATTAGAGACGAGAGTGTTTAACAGTAAGGCTAGAGTTAGATAATGAGAGACGAGAGTGTTTAACAGTAATGCTAGAGTTAGATAACTAGAGACGAGAGTGTTTAACAGTAATGCTAGAGTTGGATCATTAGAGACGAGAGTGTTTAACAGTAAATGCTAGAGTTAGATAATTAGAGACGAGAGTGTTTAACAGTAATGCTAGAGTTAGATAATTAGAGACGAGAGTGTTTAACAGTAAATGCTAGAGTTCGATAATTATAGACGAGAGTGTTTAACAGTAAGGCTAGAGTTAGATAACTAGAGACGAGAGTGTTTAACAGTAGATGCTAGAGTTCGATAAT